CCCCCCCCGGCCCGCAGCGACTGTGCGTGATTCCAAGGATCAAGAGAACGAACCACCGCTTCCACAGTCAGGCGCCTGCATTTGTCATTACAAGGATACATTGTGCCGAGACTATCTGATCGCTCGTGCAGAAAGAAGGCTGCAAATTGACGGCAAGGACATGTGCAGCGCCTAAATTCAATCATCCCCACGCGATCGTTGGTGCGGATATAAACGCCAACTGCTGGTGATGGTGGTGCCGTAGTTGTTGCAGGTGCAGCGAAAAGTGCTACTGTAGGGCTAGAAAGGATTTTGCAGAGGAGGATGGATCCACTTGATCGGACAGGAGAGGCAGTTCCTTCCTGCCAAGAGCATCACCCACACGCACTAACCGAGGACGTGCACACATGCCCTACCATATTCTTTTGATTCTCCGAGAAGACGCGAGGGATTTCCTAGGCATGCCCAGTCTCCGATCAGACATTAAAGTGACGTGATTAATTCGATCTTTGGCGTACCCAAGTACCGCAGGACACTCCTGCCCTGGCTGCCGGGAGGGCCAAAGTAGTAAGTTCATGTCAAAGATGTCCCGGTCCCGACACGCGTGATCGTGGACTCTTGTGCCAGATAAGACGCACCGCCGGCCTAACGCGACGGTCGCAGACGTCAACAAGGAGCTGTCGCTATGTTGAGAGAGCTCCTGTGGTAGCCTCCTCCGCCGCATGCTGTACGAGTAGGCGATCCACGGCAGCCATGACCATGTTAACATTCCCCAGCACGTCTCGGGCCCTAGCTGTAGTATATTCTTGGCGACGAGGAGGATGGTAGGCACTTGAGATACTCACGCCAAGTGGGAGCATTAACCCTAGGGTGAAGGGCACACGCAAAAACAATAACTACCAGACGGGAAAAATAGCAAAAAACTCCGTTTAGGAGAAAATGTAGCCCTTGGTACAATGGGCACATTTTTTTGATGTTTCCTGGACTTGAAGTCCTTCTCCCCTCTCGCAGTGGATCCCTCCTGCTCGTCCTCCTCCTCTTTCTTCCTCCGTGAGCGCTCAACCCCATGATGTACCCTCCCCCTTCTCTCGCTATGAGCCTTTTTGTAGTCGGTGTTGTTAACAATGCAGATTGCAGCTATCAATTCCTGATGGGTCAAGATCTGGAAGTATGTAAACCAAGGCGGTTGATGATTTTCAAAACCCTGTACTCGGTGTTACAGATTGACGCAGGCCAGATCTGACAATGTTGCAGGATATTTCGCGGTTATAACTGATAAATTGTAAAAAATATAAGTGGGGTTCTTGTGTCTAGTTAGTGGTGGGAGGAGGTGAAGGTTTAGCGAGTAGTGTGAATGGAACAGAGGGCTGCGAGGCTGGACATATACGGTATTCCTGGCAAGGCTGCGATTGGGATGACGTCCCTACTATGTATTAGTGTACTCCTGGAGATCTCTACGCGCTACTGTTGCTCAACACATGCCTGTCTGTGCTAACGAATATGCAGAACTCTGGGATGATGCTTACGTAGCTAGGCTTTTATTGGAACAGGAGTACACTACCCGTCATCGGCACTGACGCTCATGTATGAGCCCTCGTGCGTCTCGCACGCCCCGGACGCGATCTTCCATACTAATGCGAAGACACTACTACGCCTAACCCTCGGCGTGGACACGCTCGTGTTGGGGGACAGACACTCGATGGTCGTGCCAGAGACGATGCCACTCCTGATCACCGACGGCGACTCGACTCGACCTCCGGAGGGTGCTCAGGCCCCCTTCGCAGGACGGTGCTTAGTATCGTACGCAAGACGCCGTTTATCGTCAAGTCGACAGGGATGGCGTCCGCACGCTTGGTTCGCGAATTCCCTACACGAGCATACCCTCGCGTCCGATATGGCCAGGGGAGCTACAAATCTTAGCTCATCGCCAACGGGCTTCACACTGCGCCTATAACAGCTCGCTATAGTATAACATGCACGGGAGGAGCAAAGCTTTGTCTCGATGGCCGGACGCTACCCTCCCCCGAACGGTTGCCCTGATCGTTGACCTCTCTTGGCCCGTCTGCATTAAAAAGAACGACAGCCTCGCCCTTTCTACACTCTACAGAGCGACAACTTCACTTGCTCAGACCCAATCCCTCTACTGCCCACACAGTCCCACGAGGCTTGATCTCTCTTCTAACCGCCCCTTGTAAACTATGGAATCGCTCTATCTTCCCGTCATCGAATACGAATGGCAACCGGCCTAAGCTGATCATGCGTACCCTGTTTATGGATAAAAAGAAAAAAAGACAAGACAAAACGAGGAATCTCCTTGAGCTCGGCTACTAAATCTCCCAGCGACAGATCCGCATCAGTGCGTAGGCCGTGGCCGCGAGGGGTACGCCTGTCGAAAACGTTGAGTTTCGGCTGGGGCGGTTTAATGAATGACCGGTGATCGCACACAGAAATTGCAGTTGTCGCCATCTCTCGCATTTAATGACCATCCCCCTGGTTCATGCGTTCGATACCGAAGGAAATATGGTTAGCACAGTTTATGTCACCACACCACCACACCACTGGCACCCACTGGTGAGGTGAAGGTTCATAAGGTCACGGGTCTGCCCGCGACGTGAACTACTCTGAGAAACCCTGTAATAATTTACTTGTGCTCTTTGGTGCGTGATACAAGTGTCGCTGCTTTGTCGCTGCTTTGTCGCTGCCTTGTTTGGCACTGCCTTTGTGTATGACGGGTCCGAGTTCTTGAAAAGGCTCAAACACTCCTTCCATAGTCACCTTCCTTCATAGTTCCCATTCTATCAGTTCCAACTCCTTCTAGATAGTCCTTCGTATCCATCGTGTCGTCGTGTCTTTCTGTTCATCATCGGCCGCTTGGACGCTTTTTCCATCACACCATGGCGACAGCCGATGCTCACGACATGGACAAGTTCGACGCCGACCAAGTTCGTCGATTCTTTGAGGACATGATGAATAGCGATGGACGACATAAGTGGCCATCCATGACGCATTATTCCCACGCCAAGGCTCACGCTGTTCGCACGGCGCAGCCTGGCGCCATGCAGGCCTTTGCGGAAGCGCTAGCTGCGGGAATCTTGGACAACCCGGAACCAGAGCGCCGCGACGCCATTCTTCGCAAGTACTGGGAAGCCACCAAGGACTGGAGAAAGGCCAACCGGGAATTCTTGACGTGGTGGTACCGCGAGAAGTGGGACCCAAGGGCGATGAGGAGACTCAATGAGCATTCATGGTTTGAGAGACTGAGTTTGGGGGAACAGAGGGAAGAGAGGGAAGCCGAGGAGGAGAGATGGAGTAAAAAGAGGAAAACCAACGAGGAGGCGGAGGAGGAAGGCATACCAGAGACGACAAAACGATTGCGCGCAGCCTCTGGAAAAGCAATCAGCGTGCCATCCAGCGATTCTTCAAAGCCAACAGGCATAGACGACCTCTCCATGAGCACCCCGATTCAGCTGCCAATTCGCACCTTGAAGCCTGCATCGACGCGCTGGAAAGATCGGCCCTAGGACAGCACTCCGCGTGCACTTCACATTGTCAATGAGCAATGGAGGCCTTTTGGGCATGAGGGATCTGAAGATCTACGGGTGCCGCTCGATTTCAATTCAGAGGGAACAAAGGTGTGTATTTGGGGTGTGAGGACTGTATTGTGGACGTTGTCTACTTTTGACGGCACAGGGATGGCCCCGGCCTCATTCGAACCGTGTCGGCTTGTGATTGTGGCAAAGTCCAAACTCCCCTGGCTCGGTGCCACTGGTGCCAGGATGTTTGCTAGGAGTTTGGTTGGTATGATGTCAGAGGTCGGATGTGATTGGCCAATAATTCTGTGGGTTAGGTCAGCAGCACTGCCAAGAGATCTGTGAGAGAGAGTGAGAGGTCGAGAGAGTGGACACTCTTGGCATCCTGGGCAAACTCTGGGGAAGAAAAAGGCTGTGCACACACCACCACCACAACACAACCATGTAGGAAGTGAGTTGGTAGTGGGTGGCCACTTGGTGAGAACCGTGTCGGCTTGATATTATTTGCGTCATGTACAGATATTACGGTCAATGGTATCCCAAGTCTCTTGTTAGATCCGGAGTTCGATTGCTCTCTCGTTCATGCATTTTTCTCTCGGGAAACGATTTTGGATCGCCACCCGCACGTATGTTATCGCATAACGTTTCTAGGTAAAATTGATCGTTAGACACGACGCATTCAAGAAGCTGGATCCTGCGCACTAACTAGGCAAGGGGCCATATCACGTAACCTATGACATCCATAACGAGGCGTGATTCGGCGGAAAACACACCACCAAGGACACGGCCACATATCCCTCCACATGGGTGGCATGCTGACCATGAGCTCCCAAATGGTGTTTTAGTTGCTTACAGTCAGACTCGGTCTCGATAGAATAATGCAATAAGACAAACTAGGCACGCAGCGTCCCGTGCCCTGCCTGCAGCCTTTAAATGGGACTGAGCCTCGTCAAAACCCCCGACGTTTACGTCTCACTGGGGCGAAAGAATGGCACAAATCTTCCCCATCGCAAATCTCGCCTCTCAATTTTGTGCACGAGATGATGAATTTCGATTAGCTGTGCGGAACCTGAACATGGCTAATACCAATCAATACAGCTTAAGAAAGAAAGAAAAACATCCAGACATCCAGCAATCCAACAGTGAAGACAACTCCTAAGGAGCTGCTAACGTATGTGGAGCTGCTCGCTGCCCTTGAGAACCAACGTATGAACAAGACGCCGGCCCGAAGGGTCAAGAAAGCCAAGCAGTGAAGAGCATCCGGGAGCCAAGCAGGAGGTTGAGGCGCAGATGAGCCTCGAGACGCCTTCGGCACCTTCTGCTGCCCTCAAGCCAAGGACTACGAGACCGAAGGAGTCAATGTGACTGGCGATTGGCGTTCCGTCTTCGTCTCGATAACCGCCATCCTCCTAGACCGGGGGTTCGCCCGTTTGCACCAGTCATGAAGTTGCTGGATTGCTGTCCACAGACCAGAAGGGGGACTCCGGTGATTTTGCAGAGACAGGAATTCACGCGTTGATAACGATACCAGACGTCGGCATTACCCCAGGCATGCGCAAAAACTGGGGTCTGGAGTCGTCTGCTGCCGATCACTACAAGCCGTACGATGGACAAGGACAAAGTACGGCTGGAGATTACATGATGAATAGCACATGGAATGGGAGGTGCTTTGATCACAGAAAGATTATACGTCGCGCGACTGGGACGCTTTTTCGCTTGGTGGCGGTACAATGATGTGTTTCCAAGGACAACGAAGAAGACAACGAACAGGGACCAGACACACCGCCGAGAAGGAACAGCGTCTCGTAAGGCTGTCCGTCGATACCTACAGACTGTTGTCACCCCAGTCGATGCGCATCCCCACGCGCGGTCATGACCGGCGATCGCGAGGTGCGCCGCCTGGAGCCGAATAGCATCAAGATGCCTTGCAGCACCAAGGTCGTAAGAAGAGGACCGGAGGACATCTTTTGAGGCCATACGCCACTCGGGAGGCCTTGGAGCGACCTCGATCATCAGGCTGAAGGCTGGACAAAAGAGAATGATGGCAGCGGTCCAAAGGATCAGTCGGACGCAGTGATGCCAGACCGGGACCTGGACGAAGATGGACCTACCAAGACAGGCTGCCTCGAGAAGGACGATTACGAGCACCGCAAGCTCTCTGATCTTGATGCCGAACATAGAAAATCCAAGCCACAGCTCTCCTCGACGCTGTTTACCGCTGTGCTTCCCATTCTTTAGCGACTCCCGTCATCTTGACGTGGTAGTGTCTGGCCATCCATGTCCTCCGCCGTAAAAACTACACTTCATGATCCACCCTACTGGATAACTAAGCAAGGCTCCATGTCACATGGCAGGCTGAGTTTCCTGTCCGTTTCCAAATTTCAGAAACGTTGTTTGTCGGTTCACAAAATTCGTCACGTGTTTCCTAATCCGGTAGCACTTCTGCCTAAAACAGAAAACTCTTGGCAGCACTACACCCGCGGGCTGCGCCCCATACCAGCAAAGCACCTTGGGCCCCCCCCCCCAACCATCTCTTGACTGGGAGCAGAAACTGGTCTACTTTCCTGCTCAGCTTCTGACTTTGCGACTGCCCGGCTTGTCGCCTTCGTATCCCATCGCGAAGAGTAGCTGTTCCCACTCGGGTGGCACTTGGCACGATCACATGATAGCGTGACGCCTGTTGACGCGTGTTCACGCGTGACGCGACGGAATCGGTCACTGCCTGCGGCACAACCTCTCCGTCGAAACTTTGCAACATTTTAGATAGTCCTTCGTACTATAATTCAATTGATTCATTGCCTATTGAGCTCGTTCGCATCGATTAGATCTGCGATCGTGATATCGCCGCTCGGTCCCTGCAGTTATTCCATGTGGACAGGCCAAGCGATGGATGGACCAAGCACGGCAGACAAAGGGCCAACGATCATGACACGTGGGCAGGGTATTATGATCAAGTAATGAGGTTCCTGCATTTACCATGTTCAGAAGTCCAACAGCACCTAAAGGATGACCGATCTGACTGCAAACGGATGGTCCCATCCATTATGCTTTCCCGACGAGTAAGTGAGTGTTCGACCACTGGGCCACGGAAAAGAAATGGCGGCATGCGCCGTCTGATTTGATCGCTGGACACTGAGAGATGAAGAGATGGGAAGAGCAGTGGGGTCTCTTACAGATGGGTGTTTTGAAGGCCAACAACGATAGTCGGTGAGCAGCATCACTTGTCCCTTAAATATTCAGCGCTATGGCGTTTGAGTGTCACTACTATAGGTATGTTCTCGACAGAGATGAGAGTGTGATCGAAAGCTCATCGTCTTCGGACTCGCCATCTTCGAATCCGGCGCCTTCGGACTGAGGGGCCGGAGAGGATTGTGTTGAGCGTGGGTCCTCAACACCCTCGACTTTTGAAAGATAGCTTGCACGGTCCTGATGGTGTCGTATTGAACAGGTTGCACTGAAATCGAGGCCTCGTCGGCTTTGCGTCTCGCGGTTTGCGATGAGGATAGTCCCCGGGTATTTTCTACCGTGTAAGACTGCGCGGAGGACGTGATCAGGTCGGCGTGGTATTGAATAAATTGCGTAGAAACTAAGTTCACATCGGGTTCGGAACCGGGGAGTTGACACTAGGCCGCGTTCCCGGTATCTCTGGCTGTGAGATATGGCGCGAAAGACGTGATCTTGCAGCGCTATTTTTAAAATGTTGTACAAAGATCAAGTTCTTTATCGCTTTCAGATTAAGGGGATTATGCGGAGGGTGGGTTCTCATTGCCCTAGACCGTAGGAGATGGCGGAGTTGAGACCGGAGTGTTATCCTTTTCGGATAGACAAGATTGTGACAAAACGATCCTTGCTGGCGGAGAGCAGTGGTCGTCGGGCTTCTGCTTAGCATGCCAGCATACACGTGGTTCCCTCCTTGGAGGTGACGGAGCCTGACCAGGGTACCATTTCTCACGAATCAACCCCAGCAAAACGCGTCCGAGGACGAGGTGATTCAAAAGTTCCAATGAATGTCGTCCAGGCAGACGGATATGAAGCAGAAAACCTTGCACAACAGGGCGAGAAGGGACGGCAGCTTGCGTTGCGCGACACGACTGAGAGGTACACGAACATTGTGGAAAGGAGCATGAACAAGAAGGTGATTACGCTGCTCCTTTGCCTTTTCCTTCGCCATAGCCTGATAATGTTGACAGTGATCGACTCTAGGTCGTACGCGTTGAGTTTTTGAGCGGGTTTCCCGGACCGTAGTCTTGCCATTCTCTGTAATTGTGACGTTCTCGTGGTGCCAGTGGTAGACTGCCGCAAAGCCGGAGCTCAATTCCACTTCCACAGGGAGATCTGGAGGTGGAGCGGCTTCTGTATTTTCATTTGTGGTCGTGTTTGCAGCTATGGTTGCGTGTACCAGCGTGCGGGTGTTCAATCCCGGTAAAGACGCGATTGAAATGATGATAGATTACCGTGAGTACAACGTGATGCTTTGGGTTTCATGTCCGAAAGTGGTTGTGGGACGGGTATTCACGAAACCCATGCCATCGATCGAAGGACACCGAGAAAGGAGCTCGGAATTTGAGTCTACACCTTGCCGTAGCTTGCCCCTGCGGCTCTTTCTGTTCGGGCCTCTGAAAGTTCCTGGATGGCTGAAGGGAGAGCATAATGGCCCGATTGGAGGCATACATATCCGGCACTTACTTGTGTGCCCCAGCCTCCTTCTACTCGCCTTGCTTTCATGATCCAATCTACGTCGTTACCGAGCTCCGGCCCTCCTGGCCATTTCAGCGGAATAAATTTGCGGCCCTATATTACGACCTGACCTTTTTAAGGCCACGAAGAGAATAAGAGCGGGAAGGTTACCCGAGGAAACACGTGTAAAGCCGACCTATATAGGTCGCTAAGGGATATATATACTAATATATTAGGGCTAGGTAGTATATTTATATATTAACTACTAAGGGATATGATAGTTGATATATTAATATATATT